GGGCCAGGGGGGACCCGGCCGTCGCTCCCACCCCTGCTGCCACAGACTGCAGGAGCCCCGGGAGCCCAAGGAGGAACAGGCGCAGATGCTGCTCAAGATCTGTGACGACAGCGAAGCGGCACCAAGGTAGGCGATGGCGAGCACCTGGATGCCAAATTCCCACTGCGCCCTTTCCCGGCTGCTGACCCTGCTGAGGTGCCGTGCCTCCCCTTCCCCAGGGATGCCTCGCCCGGCAGCAAAGAGGGGGCTGCAGCCAGCCCCAGGGAGGGCAGTGCGCCTGGCAGCACGCCCAGAGACCCCTCCCCAAAAAGCAAAGACCGCTGCAGGGGACAGCAGAAAAGCGGGGCCGAGAGCTCTGCCCGGGCAGAGCCTGCACCGTAGAGCCCGATGCCACACGAGCGCTCGGGAGCCGCTCGGTGCTCGCTGCGCAAAACCCATGCTGCCATTGTTGACCGTCTCCTCTTGCCTCGTGCCACAAACAAAGGCAGGAAAACACAGCCCTGGCACACGGTGTCTGCAGCGCATCAGAAGCCTGCCTTAGGGTGACTTTGTTCATCTGAAAAAATTTGTCTTGATATTCTTCCTTTCGTGTGTTAGAAGTGAAATAAAAGGGCGCAGTTGTGCAAGTCCACTGGGCTCTGCAGCTCTGGACAAAACGGGCCTGCCAGCTCGGGGCATCCAGCTGCTCTTAAAACCACAAAGTTTGCAAACATGGGGGAAAAAAACCCAAAAAACCCAAAAAAACCCTGGTGTAGGGTAGAGCCAGGAGCTCACCGCAGGGTCTCAGAGCGTCCTGTCAACGGCCGACAGGCAGCAGAGGCAAAAACACGGGCAGGGCACAAGGAAGAGGCACTCTGCTCCTTGTGCCTCTGTGCCATTTGAACACTTACTGACTGCTGCGGCGCAGGAGGGCAGGGTTTGACGGCTCACTCCGGCTTTTCACTAAAGATTCAGACACCTTCCCCACACTTGGTGAGCTCCTGTCTCCACAGCGAGCTTCCAGTCATGGGATTTGGGAAAATAAAAGGTTAAGAGGCACTGCTGGTTGCAAAAGCACCAAGAGGTCTCTGAAGATTTTGCTCAAGGGGAAGTTTATCCCTTTCTTTGGTTCCACAGCTGGAACCAGGGGCAGAGCTAGCAGCGGCACACTCTCGCAGATTAGGACTGAGGTGCATTTACTGCAAAGAACAACTTGAGAATAAAGCTTAGTTTCCATCATCGGCTCACGTCAAACCCAAGCGACAATCACTGTTTGTTTCAAAGTACACTTGTGCAAGTTCCCAGCAGAAATGTTAACACCTACAAAAAAATCAGTGAAAAATTAACTTGCCTGAGGCACGCTGGCTACAACAGCAGGTCGCAGCTTCCATGAGGACGTGCATCAGAGGTGCAGGAAAGCCGAAGCAGGAGCCTACGAGTGACTACGTAGATAAATCGGTGCTATCCGGCTGGTGTATTTTCACATTTGCTCTTTCCCCCCCCCCCAAGCTAAAAACATGCTCCGTAAAAGACAAGTTACCAGCAAAGGCGTTGAGCAGATGCTCCATGCACAACGTGCTCTGGGATACAAAGCGAACCCAGCAGAGGAAGGACTCTGCATGGGTTAAGTGAGGCAGGACGGAGAATTCGTCCCCTCTCCGTGGCTGTGCAGCCCCTCGAGTCACCACGAGGCGCAGTACATGCTTCAACACAACACTGGAGTGTACTGAAAACCCACTGGGAACTGCACAAGTAAGGATTCCGGTTTCGATGATCTCACCAGCACCTCAAGAGATCGCCAAATAACCACCAGACAGAAGTTGGAAATACCTTTTCTTGTTTTTTATAAAAAAAAAAAAAAAAAAGAAAACCAAACCAAAACCAAAGCAATTTCCATCAGTGCCCCCTTTCCTGAGCCATACCACAGCACCTTCACCAAGGAACACCGCAAGCCTGAAGCATGAACCGACAAGCGACTCGTTTCCATTCCAGCTAGGAGGAATAACGTAAAACTCAAGAAAACAGTGAACCTCTTTGGTATATAATGACAGAATAAGTTATACCACAAAGCTCGAGTAGGAACCATTTCCAAAATGGTAACGTTTAAAATAGCGTTAGCTAGCCAAACTTTTTTCCTGTTTGGAGAATTTCCCTAGAAGCATCTCCTAGTTGCGCTGATATCCCAGGTTTCGCCCCAAAACGCAGGCAAGGATCTCAAGCGCTAAAGCCCTCAGCAAGCCCGGCAGCTGCGGTTCCTTCCCAACCCAAAATCCTGGGATCTCTGCAGGACAGAGGCAGCCTGGCAGGATAGGAAGCAGCGCGATTTGGAAGTGGGAACAGAGGTGTCGGCAGGGAGGGTCGGGAAGGCAGCGGCTCAAACGGTGACTCCTGAATTCGCAGCAGCAGTGGAGGGAGGAGGGAGCAGGCTCACTCTCTTGCTGCATTTCACAGAGGGGCTCACGATCCAGCAGCATGAGGTGAGCGGAAAAGGCTCCCTGTGAGCGTTAACACCTGGGGGAGAACTGACTGGAGCCACGCTGCCAGCTCTCCAGCAAGCAGAGGGTAGGCAGCCCCTGCACCCGAAGAGTGGAGAGCTGGAGGCCTGCTCCTGCGAGCCACCCGAGCGCCAGCTTGCAGAATCAGGCCCTAAGAGATTAAAGCTGGCTGCCTGGCTCGCAAGGTCAAAAAGCTTTAAAATCGAATTACGCCAGAGGAACAATCCGCTGACCGGCGCCTTTCCTGCGCAGGGGCGGGAGGGCAGAGCTGTTCTCCAGAACAATCGGTCTGGAGGCGTTTCGGTACAATTCAGCTGCTGCAGGCAGGAGGGTTCGATTCTCGTTAGGGTCGCTACAGGCTAAGTTATCTGGAAGATCCCTGAATGTGCAGCGAAGGACTTATCTGGAGGAGGATGAACAAGCTTCTGATCTGCTAGCGACCCGGCAGGCTGCCCAGCGCCGCAGCCCTTTGCCAGCTCCTCCTGGGCAGCCGGGAAATACCAACGGGCTACTCCCGGCACCAGCACCACGCACCGTCCCTCGCCCGGCGGCGCCTGGAGCTGGGCGTTCGCTCAGCCAGTCTGGCTTTTGCCTGCATTACAGTTCCACTTTGACTCCTTTAATAAAAGGGAGACCCGACGGCACCTTCCTTTTGTACTCCAGGTACTCTTCTCCAAAGAAGTGAATGAGCGTGATCTCCTCCTCCTCGATCCGTTCCCTGAAGAAGCGCCAGGACGCCAGCGCGTAGCCCACCACGCAGATGGGATTGCAGAGCAACACCTGCGAACAGACACTGGCGGTTAGCATCCCCGAGCCTCCCAAAGAAACCAAGGCCACCCCCCGTCCCCACATGCTAATCACCCTTTATTGAGTTTGCCATGAGGTCTAAATGCTCTCCAAAGAAAAGACCCCAGCACCTTTTGTGGAATTTCACTCTGGGGAGAAATTAGTGCTTATGAAGAAAGCAGCCTGCGGGCAGCGCCAGCTAACACCACCCTGGCTCTAGAGAGCCCATGTGTGGCCACGCTGCTCCACGTGCAGTCTTTACAGTGTCTCTCCAGAGAAATAAAACCAAATGCCAACCACAAGAAGAGTGTGACTAAGGCAGCACTGAGTTGCAGCTCAGCTGCAGCTGGCTTCCAGTTTACCCTCCAGCCAGGGCCCTGGGCACTCAGAGGGAGTTTGCTTTGCCATCCGGCACAGGACTCGTATTTGGCAGGAGCAAGACTGAGTCTGACCACATACAGAAGGCATTTTGACCGTAGGAATGCAAGGAAACTTTGGACACCCGCTTTAGGCTAGCAACAGGTCACACCTGTTGAGGCTTGGTCACCCCCAGCCTCTTAAGGGCATTCTGGCTCAAACCCCAGCCCTGCCACCCCTGCTTATTCCACACAGAAAATTAAGGCAATGGGGTCTTCCCAAAGATCGCACACGGCAGAGCGCTCAGGGTTTTCTGACCCCCCATGTGCCAGTGGGAGGGAGGAGGTGTCAAAATCCATGCCAGGGCCACCCCTACCGATGACTGCTGGCGGTTTGCATCCCATTACTCGTGTGGGGCAGCATTAAGAAGAAAGACCCAGGTTATAAGACGGAAGTATCTGAGCGCGTTGTATACAGTACCTGTGTTCCAATACTCCAGTAAAACCATCCCACGTAAGATGGGTGCCGGAACCACCCATACACCCCACTTGTCACCAAAGTATGAGTATCCGATTTCTCATTCTGAACAATATGGTTGAAGTTGGAGCCAGCTGTGAGCATGGCCGCTTTCCTCAGACAATCCCCAAAGATCACCATCAACAACCCTACAGTACTCAGCCAGGTGATCTGCTTCAGCTCTGCAAGTGAAGAAGGACAGGTCACAACAGGTTTGCACAGGGCACGCTCGCGGCATGGGGGGTAGGTGGGCTTTTCCCCCCCATCTCAAAGCAAGACAACATGAAAAACACAGCCAGTGTTCCACGCGCTGCCATCCCGCCACCAGAAAAAAATAAAAATAGGGTTCCCTGCCACGGAGTCACCCCCAACATGGAGTCTGTACATCCTCACAGCAGATCGCCCCAAGGGGAACCCGGCACCAAGGCAGAGCCCAGCTTCACGGTAAAGCCAACATAAAGCACAGCCAAGCAGACGCACTCGGGATGGACACAGGGAGCTCCACAGCCTGTGCTGCCATTACAAAGAGGGGAAGAACATCTCCCTTCTCCCCAAAAAAAAGGAAGCACCCCAGATTGGGCAAACAACAACAGTTTTTGCCAATCTGATTTTATTCCAGGTCAAAAAAAGATACCCAGACATAATCGAAGCATCGTTCTTTGCACCCCCAAAGCTGCTTGAAAGATGCAACCAGAAAAGGCCTGCAGACCTGCCACATGGCAAGGAGGGCCTGGCGTGTCAGAGCAAGGGGGGCACGCCCCCCACCCCCCCAAGACCGAAACCAAGAGGCTTTGAGCACAGAAAGATTAAAGCTGCATCAAAGCCCTCCTCGGGTGCTGGCATGGGTCAGCTAAGCGGGGGTCACCCATGCTTTGCTACCGGCCTAGCGGGCCCCAGGCGAGCCCTGTGCAGCCAGGCAGAGCCAGGGGACGGCGGGCGGGAGGGTGGGCGGCAGGGAGAGGCAGGACGGCTGACCTGGGAAGAGGAGTTTCTCCAGCGTGAACTCCACCCAGGAGGAGAGGGCGGCCAGGTTGTACTCGAAGCTGTGGTTGAGCAGGAAGGAGTCCAGCGAGAGGCTGCGCGGGTTGTTGATGGCCGTCACCAGGTACTCCGAGTAGTGGAAGAGGGAGAGGGAGCACATGTACCTGCAGCAGGACGGCGGGAGGGAAGGAACGCTTGGCGGGGCCGGGGGCCGTCGCACCCGCCCGGCTCCCCCGGCCC